CTTGAAGAGGTGATGGTGAGCTGCCTTCTTGAACTGCTGTAGTCCACGCGCTGTGGGCTCACCAACAATGTCAATAGGGAGGGAACTCCAGGATTCTGACTGAGCAACAGAGAAAAAACAGCGATATAATTCCATGTCAGGATGGTGAGGGGCTTGGAGGAGAACTTGCAGGTGGTGGTGCTCCCATGTATCGGCTGCCGTTTACCTTCTAGATGGAAGTGGTCATGGGTTCAGAAGGTGCTGACTGAAGATCTTTCATGAGTTTCTTCCATGCATCTTATAGATAGTAAACACTGCTGCTAATGAGAGTCAGTGGTGGAGGGAGTGGATGTTTGTGAAAGTGGTACCAGTCAAGTGGGCTGCTTTGTCCTGGATGGTGTCAAGCTTCGAGTGTTGTTGGAGCTGCATTCATCCAGACAAATGGGGAGTATGCTGTCACGATCATTTCATCATTAGATGATGTACAGGCTTTGGGAAGACGAGTGGCAAGTTACTTCCCACAATATTCCTAGCCTCTGGTCTGCTCCTGTAGCTACTGTGATCATGTGGCGAGTTCAGTTGAGATTCTAGCCAATGATAACCTTAAGGCTGTTGATAGTGGGAGATTCAGCAATGGTAACACTATTGAATGCCAAAGAATGGTGGTTAGATTGTCTCTTATTGGAGATAGTCACTGCCTGGCATGAATGTTACCTGCCACTTATCAGCCAAAGCCTGGATATTGCTCAGATCTTGTTGCATTTGGCCATGAACTGCTTCAGTGTCTGAAGAGTCATGAATGGTGCTGAACAATGCGCAATCATCAGTGAACATCCCCATTTCTGACCTGATGATGGATGTAAGGTCATTGATGAAGCAGATGAAGATTGTTGGGTCTTAGGAACTCCTCCTGAGATGTCCTAGAGTTGAGATGACTGACATCCAACAACTGCAACCATCTTCCAATGTGCCAGGTATGACTCCAATCAACAAGAATTTGCCCCGTGATACCCATTGATTCCAGTTTTACTAAGGTTCCTGGATGACACACTCATTTGAATGCGGCTTTTATGTCAAAGGCTGTTATTCTCACCTCACCAATGGAATTCAGCTCTTTTGGTCATGCTTGAACCAAGGCTATAACATGGTTGGGAGCTGAGTGGCCCTGGCGGAACCGAAACTGGGCATCATGGAGCAGGTTATTGCTGAGCAGGTGCCGCTTGATAGCACCTTCCATCTTTGTATTGTTGATCAAGAGGAGACTAATGGCCAATAATTGGCCAGGTTAAATTTGTGCTGCTTTTTGTATTTAGGACATAAGTGGACAATTTTCCACCTTGTCAGGCAAATGCCAGTGCTTTTACCATACTGGACAAGCTTGTCTACTGGAGTGACAAGTTCTGGAGTACAAGTCTTCAGTAATATTTCCAGAATGTTGTCAGGGCCCTTAGCCTTTGTCATATCCAGTGGCTCCAACTATTTCTTGCTATCACGTGGAGTGAACCGAATTGGCTCAAGATTGGTCTCTGTAACCCTGGGGACCACTGGAGGAGGCAGAGGTGATCAGTCATTCAGCACTTCCGGCTGAAGATTGCTGTGAATGCTTCAGCCTTATCTTCTGCACTGACACTTATTGAGCTCTTCCATCATTGAGCCTCCTCCTACAGTGAGTTGTTTAATTGTCCACCACTATTCACGACTGGATGTGGCAGGACTGCAGAACTTAGATCTGATCTATTGGTTGAGGGATTGCTTAGCTTTGTCTATCACTTGCTGCTTATGTTGTCTGGCATGCAAGCAGACCTGTTTGGTGGCTTCACCAGGTTGATATCTCATTTTTATGTATGCCTGGTACATCTCATGACATGCCCTCCTGCACTCTATTGAACCAGGGTTGATCGCCTGGCTTGATGGTGATGGTTCAGTGCCAGGCTATGAGGTTGGAGATCAAGCTGGTTTACAATTCTGCTGTTGATGGCTCTCCAGACTTAAGGCGTCAGGTCTGTTCAAAGTCTACCCCATTTAGCACATGGTAGTGGTGCTAAACAACACTGTGATGATATTATGGTTTAAGAGGTGTACTTTGCCCTGAGATTTTATTAAATGAAAAGGGTCAAGAGGTGGAGAGCAGTCTACTCAGAGCCCCTAGAGTAAGCACTTTGTGAGGTCTTGAGATTTTTTTTTAAAAGTTAGAACATAGAAGCAACCTGAATGGATGGGCTCTAGCTCCCACAGAACCTGGATTTTTAGTTTTAGTTTTTGAGTAGCAGTTCCTAGGGTCTTGAAGCTGGTTTTGGAAGCTGCAGTACATCTCTCCCTGCTACTTTCTGAGTTTTCTCTTGATGTGTTTCCTACTGGACTGTAGAATTGAATGAGAGACAATCTATTTTTCTGAATTAGTCTTTGCCCAGGGAGTGGTTATGGGATGTTACAATATTGGAACAGTTAATTAGTAGTAGTTAATACACATTGTTAATCATTTCAATAGAGTTACAGTTAAGCCAACTCTCCTTTTATTTTTATTTTGTTTGTATTTTAACTATAGTGTATGAATAAAGTGTGTTTTGCTTCAAATTTGGTAGTTTGACCAATCGAATTGCATCAAGAACGCAACGCCTGGCACTTGCCTTTAAAATATGAAAAAGTTAAGGTCTAGAATATCTTCCTAGTATATTCTGAGAGAAGTTTGCTGTGGACCATTGCAACACGATGCAAGGTATTTGCAATGTGAAAGTGGAACTTTGTCTCCGCAAAGACTGTGCAGCAGTCAGTGTTACCAATCCTGTCATGTACACATGCAAGTACAGCCGGCAGATTAGTAAGGATGAGGTCAATTATGTCTTTCCTTCACCACCCGTGGTGGTCTGTTCTGTTATCAAACCCACCTGGAGTCTCAAACGTACATAGATATAACACTGTACAAGAAAGAAATGCCTTTGGTTTGTTTGCTGGATAGAGTCAAACTCTGATGTTGGTTTTCTTCATATGCTACTGTACGGAACTGAACTGTGAGTCAGTATGTACTATATAAAGATATTTTATGAATAAAGTATATTTTTGAAATAAACAAACCTGCTGCAGACTCAGTCTCGCAGCTAAAGGAGGAGTTCAGGTAAACAGCAGGAGGTTTCTTTACCCACGTTCAATCTGAAGCCATGAGATTTCATGGGGTCCGGAGTCAATTTTGAAGGCTGAGGGCAACTCCCTCCTGACCACATACCACTGTGCCGCCCACCTCTGCTGGGTCTGTCCTGCCAGTAGGATAGAACTTATCCAGGGATAGTGACAGCATGGTCTGGGACATTGTCTGGAAGGTATGATTTCATGAGTATGCCTATGTCAGGCTGTTGTTTAATCTATGAGACAGTTCTCCAATTTTGGAACTAGCTCCCAGACATTACTAAGTCGGACTTTGCAGGGTTGACTGGGCTGTTTCTGCCATGTCTTTTCCAGTGCCTAGGTTGATGCTGGGTGGTTCATCCGGTTTTGTTTCTTTCTTGAGTTCGTAGTGATTGATACAATCAAGTAGCTTATTAGACAACCACATTGCTGTGTGGTCTAGAGTCACATGCAGACCAGGAGAAGACATTAGTGAGCCAGATGGGTTTTTCTGGCAATCGACAATGGTTTCATGGTCGTCAGTAGATTCATCTTCTGGGGCCCTGGGTTCGAATCCCACCACGGCAGATGGTGGAATTTGAGCTAAGTTTCTGGATTAATAACATAGCAACAATACCACTAGGCCATTGCTTCACCTTCCGAAAAAAGCAAGATTAACTAACAATAGCAGAGCAGCAAGGACAGACGGTGGCATTAGGAATTTGGTTTAGTCACAGAAAGGTAACTATCGCTCTGTGAAAAATAATAGAGGAAAATAGGCATGTTTTTCCTGGAAAAAAAACCTTAAAAGGAGAGTGAAGGCGGCATTTGGTATGCTTGCCCTTATCGCAGAGTGCATGGAGTATCGGAGTTGGGCAGTCATTTCGCGGCTGCACAGGATATTGGTTAGGTCACTTTTAGAATGCTGTGTCCAATTCTGGTCTCCCTGCTATAGGAAGGATGTATTTTAAACTTGAAAGGATTCAGAAAAGATTTAGAAGGATGTTGCCAGGGTTGGAGGGTTTGAGCTATAGGGAGAGGCTGAATAGGCTGGGGCTATTTTCCCTGGAGCATCAGAGGCTGAGAGGAGGTTTATAAAATCATGGAGGGGCAAGGATTGGGTGAACAGGTAAGGTCTTTTAACCGGGGTAGGGGAGTCCAAAACTAGACGGCATGGGTTTAAAGGTGAGAGGGGAAAGATTTAAAAGTGACCTAAGGGGCAACTTTTTCATGCAGATGTTGATGTGTGTATGAACTGAGCTGCCAGTGAAAGTGGAGGAGGCTGGTACAATTACAACATTTAAAAGGCATCTGGATAGGTATATGAATAGGAAGGGTTTAGAGGGATATGGGCCAAATGCTAGCAAATGGGACTAGATTAATTTAGAATATCTGGTTGGCATGGACAAGTGAGATCAAAAGGCCTGTTCCCATGCTGTACAGCTCTAGAACTCTAAAAGAAACAAGAACAGGATGATCAGGTGAATCATATATGTTTACTGAAGCTCAACTGTAGCTGCTAGAAAAAAGAAAACTACAGAAAATGAAGTTCACGAAGTTATTAGTGCAATGAATACAGAAAATCCACTAATGTATTTAAAAATTGAAAAGATGTAGTGCAGTTATAACTGTTATGGTAATACTTTAAGAATCATAAATAAACATTATTACACTCTTTTCAGTTACAGGAACTTTAAAAGTACACTACGTATTATGCAACATTCAGATCTTAAGACAGAACCAACATGGAAGAATACAAAATTAGGTACCATATAGAATGGACAGTAATTTCATGCACAATAAAGGGAGTCTCAGCTTAACAAATAATTAAATACAATAATGTTACAATTTTGTTGCTTTTCCCTGTTTCGCTCACGTCAAGCATTTATTTCTAGATATATAGTATATAAAGATATACTTACATCTTTTTCTGTTCGATGAGGGAACATTGAAGACTGGCTGTAATACAGACTTTCATCATGGTAATCACTCTCCACTCCCTCCACAAACTTCTTTCTCGCAGCACCAAACATGCTGTTTGTCACCTATTGCAAAAACAATGCATTTTTCCCTCAGATGCTTTTGTCATTATTTTGTGTATTTATATAAAACGTCTAGAGGAAAAGTATTATATTTCCATCTAAAATGTTTCCATGCTATTCCAATAAACGTCTTGTCAATGATGTATTTAAATATCTTAAAGGTTTTTTATGCCACATTTAGCTCGAATGTACCACAGCAAAAATGTTCTCTCAATTCACAACCTAAATTGCAAGGGAAAAAGAATGCTTGGCAGGGTGTTTTCAGTTTGACAATTTGTAGCAGAAAAGATTTGACTCAATGAATCTGGTTTCTGAACATCCTGTGACAAATATGCCTACAGACCTACTTACCCTCACCATTAAATATTTGAGTGAAACCCACTAACAACATTACAGCAATAAATTAAAAATCCATGCAAAAGATAGACCATGAATACAAATAACAGAATTCTGAAGTTTGGATATGCCTTTGCCCCCATTAGCAGAATTACTGAATGGCAAATTATATGCAGGAATATGCAACAGTAATTAATATTTCAAGAACATACAAAGGTATTTTGATCTTCAGACAACCTGAATGTTTGATGAATTTTAAGAGTTCAGACACAATCCAATACATTTCACAAGAATATGCTGTTTGCTGCCAAGGTAAATGGCAATCCTTTGAATAGATTATTTTATTGAATTAAAAGTTCTTCAGACATCCAACGGCACGATAATGGAAATATGAAAAGTACATTACCTGTTTGAATGTTAAATCAGATCTGCTTCTAGATATTTGTTAAGCCAATAAAATCACAGCAGGAGACTGAGGAGGTAAGGAATGCAATTGTGGGGGCACCAATACCCTAAACAATTTATCGTTAAACAGGAAAACCTCAACTGCTGAACAGCAGTTCCAAAGGTCCACCACATTTATAAAGTGAAAGCATTATGCCAACTTTTGTTGAACTACATTTTTGCTTATTGGTTATTTCCAATTATTAAGAACCATCCAAGCATCTGAGAGGAGACTTTGTAATCCCCTTCTGTCACACAAGTGAAGTTTTACCTTTTCCCATTCCACTACAAGTGGGCAGCAAAAGTCACACCACTCTCATTCCCATGGGTATATGAAAAACTAATGCACATGCTCTTACAACAAAAAAAAATTACCAGCAAGTAAACTTACAGTCTGGAGCATAAATGTACAGAAATTCATGAGTGGAAGGAATACAATGTTTCTTATAAATAGCCAAGTTTATTTTCTCCAATAATAAATACAGAAAATGCTACAAATAGTCAGCAGGTCATGCTGCATTACTGAAGAGGGAAACAAAGGCCGGATTTTTGTATGGACAGGATGGCCTTGCACCCAACTGAAAAGTTGGGTGCCATCCTCTATTTGTTTGGTATGTCCTACAGTCATTTTGTGGCTATTAGACCATTAACTGCTTAAGGTAGAACCTCCACTTCATCTGGAATGATGTCCCACCTCAGTCGGTTGTCAGCTAATAAAATGGCCATGAGCTCTCTAGTCACAAATGACACCAGCAACAGTGCTCACTTCTGGAACGACAAGCAGTCCTTAGAAAGAGTGAGTCCATGGACCCAACATGGGGCAGCACAGTGGTTAGCACTGCTGCCTCACAGCGCCAGGAACCCAGGTTCAATTCCACCCTCAGGCGACTGTCTGTGTGGAGTTTGCACATTCTCCCAGTGCCCGTGAGGGTTTCCTTCAGGTGCTCCAGTTTCCTCCCACAGTCCAATGATATGCAGGTTAGGTGGATTGGCCATGCTAAATTGCCCATAGTGTCCAGGGATGTGCAGGCTAAGTGGATTAACCATGGGAAATGCAGGGTTACAGGGACAAGGTAGAGAGGTAGGTCTGAGTGAGTAGGCCTGATGGGCTAAATGGCATACTTTCACACTGTAGGAGATTCTATGATAATATATAGGTACGTCTGGAGTGGTACAGTGAATGGGCTTAGGAGCCAGGTTTATTGTGGGGTGCCCCTGGGAGAGAGGGACAACTATCTTTGTTAGGATCTACTTTGGGCACTGACCGGCTGTACATGAGGGTTCATCCCTCATCAGCCCACATGACTTGGACACCTCCATTCATGAGCAAAATATCAGTAGTGGCACAAGGAGATTGTTGACCAGACACGAGCTCTAACTGGTTTACATGCATGCAAGCAATTAACACTCCCATGCTGCAAGTAAAATCCCAGCGCAGGCAGATAGGATACGGGCATGGTACCACCTCCTGGTACACAATTTACACACACCTCCGCCCGTATGCCAACCATCTCCAAGGGAAGGAAGAGTGCAAATTCAAACTGGGGTTAATGTTTCAAAACATATTTTCAATACCTACCCTACAGGTCTATTCTTTTGATAATTATTTCCTTTAATATTGAAGGGTAATTTGACCAGATTCTTCAACTAGCTCACATATCAAACTGTTCTTCACATAATCCCATGGATTAGAAAGCAAAGTTTGGGATACACACACACACGAAAAGCTGTTTTGTGTATTACATGAAACAATAAACCTTTGAGTGTAAGGTTATAAAAGGTACAAAAGGCATGAAATACAATAGTGACCACTATCAATAGAACTCCACTGATCTAATAAATTAATTGCTGAACTGAGTTTTCCATAATTAATTTTTCAATCAACATTCAAAATATATTGGGCATCTGCAATTTTGTGCACTGGAAAGCAACTAATATCTGTCCTGAAACTAAATAAATGCCAGGAGGAATGGCAACTAACAGAACCAAAGTTAACCAAAAGTTAATCAGTAATCCAGTTTTACAGCCTTTTTCTGGTTGATTAGGGAAGAGGACACTTTTTATTCTTTCATAGGATGTAGGCATCATTGGCAAGGCCAAATTCTAATTGCCCTTGAGAAGGTAATGGAGAGTGCTCTTTTGAACTGCTGCAGTCCATCTGGTGTAGGTACACTTACAGTGTTGTTAGGAAGGGACATATGGAACTACTCTGAAGGACTACATCCAAATGAAACCAGAAATTACAGCTCAAAATTTACCCAAAATAAAGCAGCATCAGTGGATGTCCGAGTGTTTGAAAATTGAGATGACGTACCAATAGAAATCATTCAGCATCTTACCATATTTGGCTGTAAAACAAAAGCACTTCCCTTTGATACAAGCATTAAAATCTAGATTGATTGACTGAGAAAATTTTTAAAACGTGACTACATCTGAAGAGATTGTCAAATGTCTCTGAACTCAAACTGGATCCCAAGCGATCTTCAGCAAGGATCGAAACTCTTAAGTTCTCACTACAATTGTTGTGGGTAAACATAGGACAATTCAGTTTGTATTCTACCACGGAATAAGATGAGAATACATTTCAAAGCAGCTTTCTTTAAAAAAAAGCAGTTCAGGTTTTCTGACACAAGCATAAAAAAACAGAATGGCAAAATCACATGGATGTCATCTCTCTTACAGACAACCACTCTAATACTACTTCCATTCTAAAGCATTAAGGTAGCAGAAATTGATTTTTTTATGGTAGCTGGTACACTGAATCAACACTCCAGTGTTACTCATGAGGTTGACAATTATTTTGTTTGTATTATTTTAAATTTAGACAAGTGCAGGGAATCATAACCTGTCATACAACAAGCTCTAGCGATTCGACTACGAGAGATCAAAGGAAAGCTTCAATTGTTTCACTGGAAAGTACATGCAATATACTTTTACTGGGAGACTACATTCACAACCTGAGTTTACAAAATGGGGACAGTGAATCTCCCAAAGAACCAGAAAGGTGATATAGATGTACTGTCCTTTTGCTTGCACAATGAAAGGAAGTGATTTCAACCTAAACTCAAAGCTATAATGTGTTACACACAGCATTGTAAAAAGGACAGAGGAAATCACTTTTGAGATGAGGTTACAGACTTTCCTATAAATGAATGAATGAATATCATGAGCAGACAGCAGTTCTGTGTGGTCAGCGAAGAGAAGAAACTGTTTGGCTTTGTGAGCTACTTCAGCTTGATGCAAGAGGGATGCCAAATATATAGAAAAAGAAACATTTTGCAACCCATCCAAGGATTCTGGGAGACTCCTTTCTGTTTGTCAAAGTGGAAGAATCTTTAGAACAGGCTTTATGGCTGGTGGATTTAAGAATTACTACAAAAACTGAGCAAAGCACCTGTAGATTGTTTGTTGAAATTACTGCTTGGCAAAACAGAGAAACAAGAATCCAATGGAAGCTGGGAAAACTGTGCACTGTTCACTAAAAAGGGCTATAAATGCCACAATGCAATGTATGATTAGAAGGAAGATGTTACCTAAGTTGCATAAGAGAAAGAAATGAGAGCTCAGATAAGTGTAATTTCAGTTACTTGCTACACAAAATGTTTGAACAAGTGAAATCTTTTGTGATTCTTTCGGCAAATATCTAGAAATTCAATTCCTTTAAAAATTGTTGGTATCCACCACAGAGATCATAAGAATAGGTTAACACTAACAGTTTTTTTTTCATTGTAAAGATGTGCTTGTTTTCTGGAAAGTTTTCCATAAATAAAAATTAGTTCCATCTTTGCTCAAATCCCACTGATACAAGACTGTAAAATGAGGCATGCTAAGTAACAGGTTAAAGCAAGAAAAACACGATCCATAGCTATACATTATCAAATTCACTTTCCTGTTGTTATTGGCCTGGAAATTATTTCCTTATTTTCATGGGAATTGATTACTGATACCAGAAATGCCATTGCAGGATAGCTCAAATTCAAATCTCAGAAGGAAATTAGAAACCCAAAAAACTAGATTCATCTTAGACAGCCAGGCGACGGTCTATCCCCAGCAGTGAACTAACGGTAACTGAGACATTAAATAATTGCTGAGGGTACTTTATCATAAGGCAGCAAAAATAATTCAGAGAAAAAATAACAGATTTTCTGTCACTAGACCAAATAACCAGTCAATTAAAAAGGTCAGTGATTTCAGAGCAAAAAAATGAGCTTGTTTCAAAATAA